GAGAAGCGTCTGAACTTCTCGGATTCAGTCCCTTGGTGAATGCTTCAGCCGCCCATTCATCCGGGACAGTCGGGAGCAACATTCTCTCGTTCTGTTATCACGTAACGAACACTCGTAGCAACTCGGATTCTCCTTGCGCAATCCTGAATATATCGGCCTTTCGGGCCTGTACTTTTCTTGCCCCGGCATGAGACTTGATGAAATAGTCCGCGAGTATCTCAAAGGAGTCTATGGAATGCTCGGGTAACAATGAATACCACGTCAAGGCTCCCCTCGTGAGAGTCTCTCCAAATTTCTTCAGCAAAACAGATTCAATTTCGTGAGGAGCTAAATCATTTCCTTTTACCGCCATTGTGTAGGTGGTAATATGCTCCTGAGAGTCTGAAGTTCTGTCATACTTTGGCACATCAGGCATTTTAAACCACTTCGAGATTAATTCTGGTGTCGCACTTGGCTTGTATGGAAATTGAGTATACTTCTTTGAGTCCGGACCTTTCAGCACCAGTGGTGCACCTGGGATTTGGTCCATTCGGGCGTTCATTTCCTTCATAAACTGTAAAAGTTCGTTCTTGAAAGGATGTTCTCGTTATTGGGGCCGGATCCGTTCCCCCCAGTCCCATCGGAGCCAACTTCACCCCTTGGAGTGTTGTTGTCGACCCTCTGTGTTGTTTGATCTGCGGAAATGCCAGGAGGAATCGGATCTTGTTTATTCGCATTATTCGAAGCCCCCGATAGCGCCTGCTTCAACTCCGTCATAACCTTATCTTGTCGCGTGAGGTGGCCTAGAGTGATCTCATGTTGTTCTTGCAAGACCCGTACCGCGTCAATGACATATTCCTCCTCAGGATCATCGGGAGTTGTTTCCCGAACATGTCGAGGATATTGCATGTCATGCACCGCCGTGGCATCATTTCCCTCATTGTGGTGGTCACTGATTGAGTCCTCGAAATCAGGTTGATCCCCTCGAACCTCAGGATTATGCGTGTTGTTAACACCGTTATCTGCCATTTCTTATGATTTTTTCTAAGACAAATTAATTAAACACGTTAGTAAAAAAAGCAAGGATCAATTTAATTGCCCGGCTATCTAGTCCCGACGGTGGGTGCCAAACTGTTTACTGTAAAACGGTACAGTTGAATTTATACGTGGTTTCTAGACAAGTGAATTCATTTGATCCTGAAATAATATGATAATTGAAGAAGTATGCAATACTTAGCCTTGAGATGGAGACCAAATAACAGAAATAACAGTTCCGTGAGCAGGGCTTCTGGACACAACAACAATGAAATTAAAAAGCAAGAAGATAAAATTGTATTAAGCTTTGGATAGAGTGTAGCGTAAGTTTGCTAGAAAATTCGTGTCCCTTCTAATGATAACTGAGCTCACTATTTATAACTACGTCTAGGGAAGGAGGTCCTAGGATCATGCCCTACTTCAATGTCAATTATGAGGGTCATTGATGAATATGTAACAGTGAGTATAAATGCCAAATTCCTTGTAACGGGCAATCGTACTTAATGCCGTGGAGTATTATCTATTAAATGCTACTGAGCGAAGAGTATTTATTACATTTTTATGAGCGTTATTCTCCCGGGAGACAGATGGAATAGTTGCCTTCGATTTTGTCCTTCCCCTCGTCTTGTGCTCCATGTGTCCCTCTTTGAATGGCCATGTAACATAGCATGTTTTATCCTATACAAAAGTATGAGCATATGCACTTCTATTTTTTGTCCATTATTGGATTAAACACTAAATGAGTAACTATATATATATATTTATAGTAGGGAAAATAATATAGAAATAGGGGGTAGAGATGCACCCAACGGTAAACCATGGTTTACTGACATCAGGGAATATATTGAACACCAAACGTATCCCAAACATGCAACGAAAAATGATAAGAAGACAATCAGGAGGTTGGCAATGCAATTCGTTGCGCGGGGATGCGATTCGCCAAGCTGGGGCAAATCTTTCCCCTATCTCTAAAGGGGTTCGATTGGTCTGAGGTTATCGACAAAAAAGATTTGTCTAAGCCACTTTGTTTCTTTTTGTCCAAGTCACTTCTTTTTTTGTTCAAGTTGCTTTTTGATAGTGTGAGAGAATTTATTTTTGAATAGTTAAAAAATAAAATAATAAATAATAAATAAATAAATAAATAATACTTAAAAATATGATAAATTTAGAGTAATCTGAGCAGTAAACAAATAAATGTAAATAAAAAAATTATTACCAGAAAAAGAAAAAACTATACTTATTTATAATATACTATAATGAGAGTAGCGGACAAGAATATAAATAATTTAAAGTTATGGGTAACGCTATAACATCGACAAGAAATAAAATGAAAATATAAATATATAGTTTCAGTGTAGAGATATACAAAAGGATATGAATTAATTGATTTTTTTAGAAGATAAAGCTTTTTAAATAATATTGAGAGAAGTTATATTAATGGACTTGAAAGTATTATAATAGATAAAACTAAAACAAAAAACATAGACAATTGATATAATTTTAAGAAATAAATTAAAATTTTAATTAAATTTTATATAGTTAATTTCAATAAAAATTAGAAGTCAAACTTCTATGTAATAAAATAATTATATACAATTCGTAGTAGGAGAAATAATATAGAAATATAGGGATAGAGTAGTGTGAGAAAATTTATATCTTTAACTATTTTAAAAATAAATCTATATCTCCAGCTCAATTAGCATTTCAAGATTAGAGAATCAAGATGTATGATACACGTAGTTTGGATTCGAACAATTCTAAAGCGATTCTCAAAAAGAATGGTCACGGGCATGCAATTTGATTGGATCAATTATAAAGCAATTTCAATAATACTGGAACGGGGTTAAATCAATCATAAATCGATAGAAGAACAAGAGGAACTGATGGCAAGCTATAGATATGCATTTTATGAGGATAACATTTTAAAGTATGAAGCTACTCAGACATAAGCTGAATTAAATGTTAATTGCGTTATCTAACAGTGAAACTAATTATCAAAAGTTTAATAATTTGTCTTATATCTAGTTGTTTGGAAGTAATACGAAAATTTTAGTTTTTTCTCTATTAATGTTGCAGTTGTTATGGTAAAATAGATATGAATATGTGTAAGATTCTCTAATGGATCAGGTATGGATTATGACTTTTTAATTCGTTGTTGATATTTATGTTCTCATAAATTATTTAAGACAATAGATTGAACAATTATTAGGGTCATAGGTATAAAGTAGAATAAAATATATTTAAATAAGGACCACATATAGGGCAACGATAAATATACTATTTGGAAATTGGGATTGCTATTTATACAAAATAAAGCACATTACAAAAATCAAAGATAAGATTCATTCAGTTAAGAATTATAAGCTAAGTTTTAGGAATTCAACTTCTTTTAGTACATGAGCATGGTAGTAGGGAATTGTTAGAAGTACGTTAAAGTTTATTTAATTGAAACTAGTTATCCTTCACGAGATACTTTTTAGAAGAATTAATCTAAATAGTCATACTAAAAGTAAACACTCAGTGTCTGTTTGGCCATGAATTTTTTTTCACTTTTTTTTAGAAATTTTTTTACTTTTTTCGAAATCAGTATTTATCCATAAAATTTTCAATTTTCACTTGAAGATGTATTTTGGAATTTTCCGAAAATTTGAAAAACTCCAAAATGCTATTTTCTAAAATTTTCACTCAGGGCTATATTTTCACTCAAAATGTAGCCCAAAAGCATAGCTTTAGTGGTCAAGGAGGTTTAAAACCTTTATAAGATTATAAAGGTAAAAACTATCCAAGTCAAGAAAAAGAAGATAAAAGACATTTGACTAAAACTCACTCACAAAAATTCAAAACTAACCCAAAATTATATTCACATCCAAACACAACTCTAATTTCAAATACCACTTTCACTTAGAAATTTTTTCCCACTTTTTTCGGATTTACAATTCTTATGTCCAAACGCCGCCTAAAAATAATCCAAACGCTGAATTTAACGGGCTACTGCGGAAATTAAACAAGTGTGGTCATTAGGGGTGAACATAGGTCGGGTTGGTTCGAATTTTTCAATTACCAAACCAAACCAATGGTCGGGTTTTTAAATCTACAAACCAAACCAACAAACTCGAGTTTTTCAATCTCGATTTTTCTCGGGGTTTTCGAGTTTTTTCGGTTTTTTGAATTTTTTCCTGTAAAGTCTTCACAACATAAAATATGTAACTTGTGCTCCAAATATTTCTTTAGTCCTATTAAGATACAACTATATAATGTATATTTCAAGAAAATAACACAATAATATGAAATAAGCCATAGCATTATACTAAAATATTCAATAACAAAGATAATAAAATTGTATAAAATAAATATTGATAATTAATAAGCCAAAATAAAAATTAACATTATTCAAATATTATACTGTATAATGCTAAACTAAGTATAGCTAATAAATACTATTAATTATATGACTAAGCACTAAAGAAAAAGATAAACTAAGTTATGCATTTTCATTATATAAACCAATGTAAAACTAAAAAATAGATATCCAACACTATCATCATTCCTAGTATTGAATTGAGTTTTTTTTTTTTTTTTTTTGTTAGCATTAGTATTGATTTGAACTTTGTTTGAGCTACTATATTTATGGGCTATAAAATTTATTTACCATCCAAGCATGTTAAGTCTAAACTTGAAATAATACGTTAAAAGATAAAATTGTAAAAAAATTTAAAAAATATTTATAAAGTACATTGCTATAAATATTTATATGTATAAAATATTTTTAAAAATTGTATAAAGTATTCTCGGGTTGGTTTGGTTTTTTATTTGACTTTTTTTAGTTAAAATCAAACTAAATTAATTATGTTCGGATTTTCTTCTTTAATATCAAACTAAATCAAACCAAATCACAATCAGTTTTTTTTTCAATTTTAACTCGGATTATTTTTTGGTGCTGGTTATGAGTTTGGTTTATACTGCCAAAATGGAAACATCCACGTAGCAGTTAATAGCAAATAAAATAAAGGAATAAGTAATACTACTACACAAGTTCATAGTTTCTGAAGAACACGTGCTAATGCTTCTCTCTCTTCAAGTTACCAAAGATTTGTCATTTCTCTCTCTAATTTCCATTTGGAATCTTTTGATCAATCTCTATTTGTTTGGTTTTTCAGCTTTATCAAAAAACAAATATTTGTATATTTTGGTTGTTTGGAGCTTTCTATTATTAATTAATCTTGTGAAAGTGCATGCATTTATTTCCCAGAAGAAACGCTTTTTTTGCTGGATTTTATTTGTATGATCATTGTTTTTTAATATATATCTCAATTTAGGGGTTTTTCCTTTCTTTTTTGGTTATTTATGCAGGGGTCTGCACTTGTGGTGAAATTATTTCAAAAAATTTGTGCTATAGTTATTGGCGATACAGCGAAAAAATCGCTTATGTGGATGGTAAAAAGGTAAGATTTTGATTAATCATATACTTTTTTTTTTTTTTTGCTTCTCAATTAGTGAATTGCATGTGTTTGTATGTCAATTGCATGCTAATTTCCCCTAAATAATTACTATTAAAGATTAGTTTTTTCTATATCTATTTCTGGGTTTGTGCACAAATTTATTTTCCCTTTTGTTAATCCCAAAGTTCAAATGTAGCTCTTAGATGTTCATATTATCAATGTTTTTAGCTTCTATCTTGAGTGATAATATGTTTTAAATAAAGAATGTATTTGATGTTTTTAGTTTTCGAAGTTATGCCTTATAAAGAAAAGGTTTACAAAGTTATCTTTTGCGTTGGTTAACCTCAGCAATCAAGGTTTGTTGAATTTGTAAACTACTAGGAGTAGTTCCGAAACTCAAGTGAGTGTTTGAGTGTTCTTTGTTGCAATGGTTTATAGGCGTTGCCCTTAGGGAACGTACTTTCTATGGTGAGCCAGTATGGTAACCAGCTGCCCTCACATTAATGGTTCAGTTCTGTGAACATTTTTTGCTTGTGTTTTTTCCTTTTTAGTTCATAATTTTATGTTGTGTGATGTTGTATCTTTTGCCATTGCAACACTTGCAAGATAGATTTTGCGTATATCTTTACCTCCTCAGCCCTCCTGTCTTCTGTTATGGAAATCCATATCAATCTAATGACATCCACTCGGAAGAAGTCATCATAATTCGACGGACTAATCTGCAGAAAAGGTTTCACTTTTTAATGATATGAATAGTTTGTTTGCCTCGATTAGGAGTTAATTTCTAGTTGCATAGTTTCAGGGGTCGGGTCAACTATTTAATCAAATGATATTGAGCATTATTAAGCATGTTTCACATCTCTCCTCAAAAGCTAACTATTTAGACTTGGGGCTGTGAGAACACATACTCTATGAAATGGTTCTCCACGTGTGTTGCCAAGAGCAACATTATGTAGGTATAGAATTTGACCTTAATTTATGATAATTACATATGTCAGTTAAGATGTTGTTCTTGGGGGGGGGGGGGGGGGGAGGGATTCATTAAATTTACTTAGAAGAGAAAAATATAACTAGAAGCTTAAACATTGTTTCCTTGTCTCAGGGAAGGAAAAAACCCAATTAGTTATTGAGAATTTCTACCTTTCTGCAAGTTTTAGTTCATGCATAGAAAAGAATCTCCTATTAGTAGAACAGCAAAAGATGCATGAACTGAATAAGATGTTCCGGGGGCATGAAATAACAGAGAAACGTGGTCCTAATCTTGCTTAAACTATGATGGATACTGCCTGCTATGCCAATGAGGAGTGCGGAAGTTAACTCCTTTCTGGTTATATTCATTTTCTGTCAGTTTTTCTATTTGGTCGTTTGGTGGAGGTTGGCTTTTGTAAATGATGTAAATGACTTACTAGATCTACTAAGTGATATACATGATCCATAATATCTTGTAGTACCTTCTTATTGCTGCTTTTTGTTGACAATATTATCTTTCTTCAACTGTCAAAACAAGTTTTTCCTATCTGGTTGACTTTTCTAAAGCTTCTTGTTCCTTCGAGCTAAACTAGGAAAGAAAGGCAAATCTTCATAGAGCGAGCTCTATTTTGTGATAAAAACGTTTAACTTCCAGAACTGTTGGAGTTTTTAAGCTCTTGTATGAGAAGTGGATGGAAGGAAGATAGATTTGGGGTTCCAAAGAGAGGTCTCAATTGGAGGGTACTTACCTTTAACATACGGGTTTTCTATCTAATATATCTCGTATTGAGTGTAACATCTTGAGTTTTTAAACATGGTCCCATGAATGATGGAGCTCCTTATGCGGATGCTACTTGTTGAACCTTTTTCTACTCTTTGAAGTGTTTAGTAACCGCTTGGCAAGTTCGGCTTAACCTGTAATGGAGATCTGATATTTTTGATAGCTGATAGTTACCTCTATCCTACCTAATGCTTTTTTTCTTGTCACATCTGCGATTGACCATACTAAGTTTCATATCCTCTCTATGAGCTTTCTTTTTCTTTTTTTATGTGCAAAAGAATTAATACTGTGTGAATGCAAAGCTAGAAGTCTCTTTTTCCCCTGCTGGTGTCGCTGTCATCACTGTCATGTGGACTTCTGTAGATTTCGAGGTTCAATTTGGTCTCTGACTGGCTAAGGGGGTAAAGGTGGCCTTTTTGGAACAGTGAATTTGTGAAGATTTTATCCGGGTTGTCAATTTTGTCAGAGCTTCTACTCTGAAAGACATATCTAAACAATTGAAAGAAGGGTACTCTTTCATGTTTGCCTTTATCTAGTCCAGCAGGATGTTTCAAGGAAGAAGGTCTTGGCATGTTAACACGTATTTAGGGGAAGAAATCCGTCAGAAAGAGCCTATTGCTATGAAACTTTTGCCTATTCGGAAGTGTGATTAAGCAATAGACACTAATGTGATTTCCATTTCTCTGTCTTCGCTCAGATATATGGCAGCATGTTTTGAGCGGAGACCTATTTGAAATGCTTAGTTATTTCCCCTATTTAATACATGTTTCCTAGATCCAATTTTACTGTTTTCGTTATTAAAGTATATTGCAGTTTTTTGTAAGTCCATTATCAAAAAAAGTTTTCTGTAAGTCAAATTTTTTATGTTAGTAATTCTTGGCTGTAGCAGATGCATGAATTGCTGCTAATTATCGTCTCTGTAGCCTGTTTAAGGATGGTACGAGTAATAATGAGTACATAAGAAAAAGTATGGTAACAATCAGATTCATCTAGGCTTAGCTGGGAATTTTTTGCAGATTACGAGCACATTATTTCGTCTCGCGATAAAGCTATGATCTGTAATCATTGTGATGTAATAATGTCAGTGATACATTTTTATATAAAAAAGAATTAGTGCCAGTGACACGTATCCAGGTCAGACATTTGGCTTCTGAGGGAATTGAATGCTATAGAAATGTAATTCTATTCTTTTTTATGATGTTATTAATAAATATAGAATCTACACCTTTTTTTCTTTTAATCTGCAATCTTATTATTGGTTAAATGGTATGTTTAGTGTAAATCCTATGAATGCATAGCTGCAAATGGGCTAGCCAATCGGTTGAACTTCACAAGGCTACATTTAATTGAAGCCTTATGGCTGCTGCTTGAGTAATTAACTATTATGCTTACTGCAATACCATTAGTATCCTGCAGCTACCATCTCAGTTTCAATAAAATTGAAATATTTCGCCTCTTGTGGTTTAATATTGCAACAGAAACGGCTTAATTGCTCTAATGAACTCAATTCCTTTTCTGACAAACGATAGCCTCTACTTGTTAGGTGCATCTTGCACATCTTCTTGTAGCTTTGCTTTCCGCCTCCCAACCATTTTATGCTAGAAAATTTACGACTTTAGCTACTTTAGGACGTTTTAAGATTCACTATGTATATCACTTTATCGGTGCTCACTCACCACCCATGCAATTTCCAGTAGCCACGTTTAACCCTCTCTCTCCCTGCTGCTTTCTTTGTCTCGACGTCATCCTTTTCTCCATCTGTATCGGGCTGTAAGTATTCTTCTTTATTCCAATGGGTTCCTGTGTAGCTTCCCTGTGTATCTACTACCGGAATGTGGATTTCTTTTTTCAACTAGCTGGGAATGTGGCTTTTTTACCTTAGCTTCTCTTAAGCATCCATAGAAGTGGTGTTGTACTTGATTTTGTGGAGAGTCTCTAAGTTGGGGTATTCAATTGATCTCTCTCCCACAGTCAGTTTGCTTGACCTGAATATGGATAGTTGGATTACTGTCTTTCAATGACGGGAGTGGATCTTATTTATCTCTTCCCTCTCCAAAAGTAAAAGTAAAGAGGGCAACATAGATTTCCATCTTGAAGATACTCCTTTCTTGGCTAGTGAGCTCGCGGTTCTTAAAGCTGGAATAGTAGCTTGATGTCTATCCACGTGCCATATTCGCTTCAGTTAATTCCCACTCCCCTTTCTCCATGGTTTGGATGCTTTTTACCAAATGTAGCAACTGCAAATAGCTCTGTTGTTACTTGGTGTAATGTCTATGATGGTTTGTGTTACAGAAGCAAATTTCTGAATTAAAGAGGGTAATCCTAATACTTTCGAATGAATCCAGTTAACTCTGGAGTCACTTTTGAAGTGTGCTCATGTCGAGAAAAATCTCAATATAAGCATTGGCATGTACTGAGTTATGTGATCGCTTAGTCAATGTATGTACCGGGATGTAGGTATGACGTGTTATTCTTCTTTAACCAGGAATTATCCACAACATTGTACTCGACACCATGGGGCAAAGGAGTATGTCATACAATAATCAAATAATTGATTTGGAAGCAGATCAGCGGAGTCAAGAGTATATCCCACCGGAGCCTTTGTTGTACGGGAGCTTTACAGCTTGTCCACATCCAAATGTCCACACTATAGTACCAACTCTAGGGAACAATGCTAATTTCTATTTGCACCATCTACCAGACCCTCGAGAAGGCGGTTTACTTTATGGGATGTCATCGTCCAATGGGGTTCAACCGCGCCATCCTGCCACCAACGTTGACACAGCAATTGCAACATCATCAAATCACTATATCCCTTGCGTGGCTGCTCCATCTGCATCGACAGATTTTCCAGTTCCAGTAAATCATGGGTTACATGATCGGCGTCCATTCTCAAGCACTCACGGCATCCTTGGAATTAGCGCAGACAGTTTTGGTAGGAATGATCCTTATATGGACAGTGTCAGAGGCTCAGTTAAGCAAAAGAATCATTCTGCTCTGGGGGGGCGTAGTACTTCCGTCGTCCCAGTGATCACTAGAGCACGTGAATCTGATGTTTCTTTGACGGATACTGTATCATTCACTCCATATGGAGGGAATGAGTCATCATCGTCCACAGAAGATGGAGTACAGAGAAGTGGTAGGAACAGATCTGCTAGTGATCCAGATACTGTATTGCAAAATAACAACAATCATCTGCTTCAAGGAAACTATGTTGGCCAAGCCTATCAGTTTCCTGGCGATCCTTGGTTGGATCTGCCTTTCAATAGTAGCGGTGCTGAGGCTGAAACTTGGGCCTGGAATCAGGCTGCTCCTTTACCATATCTGCCAGGTAGTTACTCCTTTTAAAAAAAAAAAAAAAAAAAATTCTCTGTGTTTTTGAGTACCTATTTCAGCCTACTTTTTGTTTGATAGGTTATCTTCTCCCCTTCATTAAAGTTTTCATCAAAGTCTCCTTGTTCTTCCAAGTTTTGTTTTCTTATGAGCTATTAGCATGCTGCCAAGTTGAGCAATGCATCTTCAGTTGTTTTTCTTTCTTCTTACATGTTTAAAAGGGACAATCCACTGGAGACACGTCTTGTTCTTTCCTTTTTCCATTTTCATGCATTATTTGTCTCTTTTATTCCAAGTTCTAAAAGTCAACTTTTATAACTGATTGTTTATCTCACTTCTCTTTTTAATAATCTTGGAAAACCTTTGTTTTTTCCTTTTCTCAAATTATCAACAGCAATTCATGATCTTTATTCCAAGTACTAGAAGTTAACTTCAGTAACTGATTGCATATTTCTTCTGCTTTTTTTTTCTATTACTTTAGGTGGCTGTATAGATGCTGGAAACATGGGTGTGCAAGGTTACCAAGTAACTGCCAGCAACGGAGGTTTGACTAGTTTTCTGTATCCACCTATTCCTCACGGACCACCCAACCATCATCACCCGCCACCTAATACGCAATCTGTGGGGGGCCGCAGTATGAGCTTCTCTCCGCAGATGACATCATCTTCACACAGAAATCTACGAAATAGTTTGTCCAATCGCACTAATAATCCATTCCAAGGTGTTGTAGAGGGAGGGTCTAGATATATCGGACCCTTCCCACCGACTGGCTTTAGGTTCTACAGACCTCATCGAAGGGAATTCATGCTTGAAACAAATACACAACAAAGCAACCTCCCTAACATGAGAGTTTTGCTAGAAAATGTAAATTTGTTCCATTTGACCGGCTCTTCTCATTCTCTTTGTCGTATTGTTGTCTCATTCTGTTAAAGTAATGGGATTGGATGTTGATGGGTGTCTCTTTCTTTGGTGATTTTACTAGGGAGTGGCAATGCTGGATGTTCCAGGGTACCATGAAGTTGGTGATGCTGTTGATCAGCACAGAGATATGCGTTTGGACATAGATCACATGTCTTATGAGGTGAGGAAGATTGTAGGTTAAGTGCATGTATCATCACATATTTTCCATGATGGTTGATAAGTAAAAGCTGTGGTAATCCTTGGTCAATTATTTGCTATAACTTTGGCTAACTTATCCTTCAATATAAAAATCCTATCCAGGAACTTCTTGCACTGGGGGAACAAATTGGCGAAGTGACCACTGGTTTATCAGAGGAAGCCATTGGTACCAATTTGAAAACGAGAATTTTTTTGTCTTCCGAGACTCCTTGCCCTCATGAAAATGCTACATGTTTAGATCACAAAACAGATTTCTGTGTCATATGCCAGGTATTACCCCTTTGCGGACTTATATTCGATATAAGATTATTAAGATTTTTGGCAGGGGTCTAGTCAATTTGTGACCTATAGTTTCTATAAAATTCGAATTGATGCTATGTACTTGTTATATTTATATATTTTTAAAATTTCCTTATCTGACTTATTCTTACAGCACTTTGCTTAATGTTTATGTTGCCATTCTCTTTGGAGATCTTAAATTCATCAAAACATTGTCGTGAATCTGTATAAGGATTCCTTATCATGGGAATGAGATAAACTTTTGGCTGTCCACCTGGTACAGTGCTGCCTCGGCTTCTTTGTTGTGATCATTTCCTTGTTCATTCTTTGAAGATTGCATCTTATTTGCTTCTGCATTATTATTATACAATTATATGCTGTTACATTTTCCAAGCTTTACTTTCCAGTGAAGCTGTATCCCTTTTCTTGTTGCTTGTTTCTTTGAGATAGCTCTGACGGCCTGCATATGTTTAAACATGTTATCGCAGACTGATTACGTAGACCAAGAAAAGATTGGCATTCTTGAGTGCAGGCACGAGTATCATGAAGAGTGCGTAAAGAAATGGTTGATTGGGAAAAATACTTGTCCTATCTGCAAATCCACAGCATTGTCTACAGAGAAACTCGGATTGTGAATACAGGGAGTTGGTTCAGTTGATGGTGGGTCGATAAGTTAAAAAGAGCGGACATTTTTTTTTTTCTCTTGTTAAATATTTATTCTCCAAGAAGAGGAAAATGTTCCTGAAACTGTATTATAATTTGTACATACTTTGTGCAGCAGTCCCACCTCTGTTGAGCTGAAGCTGTACAGACTTTGTAAGTTTTGTTCAATCTTGCATGCTTTCTGTATGGACGTTCCTGTTAATATCTTATGTATCAAGGAATATCCACAGTGGAATATAGGCTTTACATTCTAAAATTTCAATTGAAATCTGTGGTTATGTGCAACTCGGCTTTTGATTTATGGTAGTGCTAATTCCTCGTTTTTCATCATCAATGGATACTTACCAAGTATCGTCGTCTTAAAACCTCACTTCAGGAACAGGTTTTTCTATCACGAAAAATATACAGGCGATTGTGTTGCCTGATTTGATCAAACCATATTCAGAACTAATATCAGTGTTTGGTTACTCAATTGTTTTGGGAGGCAGCAATTTCGTTGCCTGGTTTAGTCAAACCATGTTCATAATGAGCCAATTTCATTACTTGCCATTCGCTAGAATCTAATATCAGCCGTTGGTCATAAATTATAATAGGCACTTTATAGCCCACAACCAATTCTAATGGCTAGCCACTAAGATTTAACAAACTCAACTGACGGTACTTACGGCGCAGTTCACTCATGCCACCATTGAATCCATTGTAAATTGAATGCAAGTACCCCCTGACTCGTAAAGTAAGTATTCTTGCGTGAATTTTCTAGTACTTTTGTCCTAAGCCTTTTCCTGATTCTATGGACGATTATATTTATTTTGCCCATCAAGAAGCAAGTTAAAAGCTTGTTTTACAACTCTGATTGGAATACAAATTCTTCCATTCAAGAAGTGCTTTTATTTGATTTATTATTTCTTGATCTTACTGTTTTAGATGATAACGAGGAAGAAGTTGAAAACTTTTTATCACATTTGCGAGATCTTGAACAATTTAAAATGTTGCATTACAGTATTTCTTGTTTTTTTTTTTGTTTTTTTGTTAAAGAAAGAGAATTGTAGTGTATTTAACCTATATGTGTCAATTGTCAAGATGATTTAACCTATGGGAGCGAGCCTTTTGCCGTGGTCATACAAAAAATATACAAAATAGACTGTCACTATATAATTTTTATACAAAATAGACTATCATTATATAATAAATATACAAAATAGACTGCCACTATCCAAAAAATATACAAAATAGACATTTCGGGCTATTAAATGTAATATGTTTGGGCCGGAGGGCCATTTCGTGTCAATGGGGAAAAACATGGGCTATTAAAATTTTGAGGGGCTATAGAGGGTCATTTTCTCGGAGGATTTGCAGTCGTGCCCTATATTTGTGCCACCTTTTAACCTGTGCCCTATTTTTAAAAATTATTGATTTGGTAGCCGACGAAAAATCCGTAATAATATGACAATTACACCCCTGACAAAAGATATAAAACCTGCATCACGCATTAATCGCGTGATCTGCAACCTCTTTCGTGAAAAAAGATCTCCTCCTCTCCTCTTAGCAACTTTATGAAAAATTAGAAACTTATCCAGATTCATCTTCAGAATCACACTTGCATGAAGTTGTTTCACGTTGAAGCTAGAATTTCATGCTAATGTAGGATGAAGTTGTTTCATGTTGAAGCTAAAATTTCATGCTAACATAGCATGAAGTTGTTTCACATTGAAGCTAAAACTTCATGCTAATGCATGCTGAAGTTATATATCTTGCAGTCTATAGTTTTGTCATGAGTTTTATCCAAAACTTCAGTCTAAACATGCTGAAGTTATTTAGGTCATTTGCTAAAACTTCAGACTAAACATGCTTAAGCTTTTTAGTTCATTTGCTAAAACTTCAGACTAAACATGCTTAAGTTTTTGTTTTGCAGTATATAATTTTCTAATGAGTTTTTGCTAATGCATGCTGAAGTTATTTAGTTCATTTGCTAAAACTTCAGACAAAACATGCTGAAGTTATTTAGTTCATTTGCTAAAACTTCAGACTAAACATGCTTAAGTTTTTTAGTTCATTTGCTAAAACTTCAGACTAAACATGCCTTGTCTTACACTATGTAATTTTCTAAAGAGTTTATGCTAATGCATGCTGAAGTTATTTAGTTCATTTGCTAAAACTTCATACCAAAAGCATGGTGAAGTTCTATAATGCAGTCTACAGTTTGTCCTGAGTTTTATCCATCTAAACAAGCTGAAGTTTTTTAGTTCATTTGCTAAAACTTTAGCCTAAACATGCATAAGTTTTTGTCCTGCAGTTTGTCAATAGTCTTTTATTAAAGAAAGGCAAAATCATCTTTCTAAGACGCTTTTAACAAAAAAAATGAGTACGGATGCAAACGAAAAAATAAAACGGGTATAAGTTAAAAGGGGGCGACCAAATAGGGCGCCCCGTGCAATTTTTACCATTTTCTCTATTCATAATTGAGTATTAGTGTTTGGTGACCTCGTAGTTTTAGAGTTTCCTCCTGTTTGTTAACCATTTTATTAGCAGTAGAAAAGTAGAACTGTTAATTGCATAATGCTAATGGAAATCTACTTATACACAAGGTTAACAATTTTACCGAAAACAACAACAAATCCAGTATAATCCCGTAAATGGGGCCTGGGGAGGATAGTGTGTATGCAGACCTTACTCCTACCTTGAGAAGGTAAATAGTCTGTTTCCAATAGACCCTCTGCTCAGGGAGAGATAGAAAGAAAGTAGTAGCAACAAGCAGTAACAACAACAACAAGATAATCAGAAAATGAAGCGGAAAAGAAACAACATGTTAGTAATAGAAATTTAAGAATAATATAATACAAGACAAACACTAACATGTTACCTATTAACCCTCTAGGCCTCTACCCTAATTCTCGACCTCCAAACTCTCCTATCAAGGGTCATATCTTTGGTAAGCTAAAGCAATGTCAAATCATGCCTAATCACATCTCCCCAATACTTCCTTGTAGGGGAGAGTATCGGTCAGTTCGGTTCGGTTGTAAATATTATCGATTGGCATATCGGTTATCGGTTTATAAATATGCTAAACCGATAACCGAACTGATAAGATATTGGTTATCGGGTATTGGTTAATCGGTTACCAATCCTTGTCGGTTCGGTTATCGGTCTACCCGATAAGAATAAAAATATTCAGAATTTTATGTTTTATTATAGAAATCGTGATCATATCGTTAAGAGATAGGGACTAAATTTTTGTTCTTAACAAAAAAAAAGGATTAAATTTCAACTTTAGACAAGAAAACTATCTTTGCATGTGATCGGGTCCAAGCTTACACTACTATTGAGTAGTGAGGGTGGTCGATGCAGTTTTAACCCAACTAGGTCGTGATCACACTACAAGAAAGTTTATAATTTGCAACAATTTTTTAGCAACAACAATGATATTGTTGCTAAATATCAATAAATGGCAACACCTCTATTTAGTTGTTGCTATATCGTAGAAATTTTACCCACAAAAAATTTCTTGTTGGCTAACGTTTTAATTTTGTTGCCATAACTTTTTGGGTAATATAAAATTTTTAAAATATAAATAAATTGGCAACAATAAATTGTCAGTATTGCCAAAAGTATTTTCTTGTTGGTAAAATACTTATTTTTCTCAACAGTTTGTTTGACTTGTGGCCTAAAGAATATTTAGTTCTTTCTCAATATTCAGCAAAAAAAAAAAAAGGGAAACTTCCCTCCCTTTTTCCCCGCGAATCCCTCCCATTTTTTATTTTCATTTTGGCTTTCACTTTCCCCAATTCGTTCAACCCTTCGACTCGTGCTTTGAGTTAAGAGGTTCAATTGAGCGACAACCTTATCTTCCAGTGTTGCGGCTATGGCTTGAAATTGTAAGCTCCTTCATCTCTAGTTTTAGTTGTTTCTAGTTTAGGGTTTCAATTCCTTGAATGCTTCGATTTAGATTTTTTAGTTAGGAAGTCCTAACCAGGGTCGACAACTTTCTCAAAGCAAAAACTAGGGCATCAAATTAACCATTTTCTTACAGGTTCTAAATAAAGATAGTGTGGTTCATCCACATCAGTACTTATAGCTCCATTCTAGTTCTAATCAATGGTCTCATGTCTTATTTGGTTGGTATTTCTATTTTACCTTTTTTTTTAATTTAAAATATTACGTTCCTTTGTATTGCTTGTAGATTCACAAGCAGATCGTGACTATAATTTATTTATTTATTGGCATATTTGTGCTTTTTGGAATTGGGATAGATTGTTTTGGCTATATTTTTTGTGTTGTAATGCTCCTAAAGAATAGGCTGCTTCGGGCTTTGCGGAGCTCTCTTTGGCTGTGTTACTTTTATTCCCACATCTCACTGTAAGTTAGTTTCTGCTTTGTCTATATTCGTTTCTTTAGCATCTATGTTTGAAAATTGAGAGGTGCAACTTGAACTAATTTTTGGTGTCTCTAGAGTAAAAAAGGGATCTTGCTATGCCATGATCCACAATTGTGTCGACCATCGTGCTTATGTAACTTTATTAATTACAAAATCTCTATCTCTCTCTTTCGCTACTCTGCTATTTTCTTCATGCTTTGGTACTTCAGCAGTTGAATGAGAAGTTTATGATGTCTTATTTCTTTTAGGGAGTGGTTCAATTCTTCTGGGCTTCTCTGGATTTATATGTTCTTCTGATTTTACCTTATGCTAGCTAAAATCTTCTAGCATCTACTGTGTTTGTGAAGTTTGGTAAGTTTTCTTCCCTGTTTTTTATTTCTTGCATTGTGTACTGACTTTTGGCTTTCACTTATAGATTTCTATGAAATTTTTGTCTATTTTGTTTGATGTTGGTTTCTCAGTTTTTTTAAATAATTTATTGCAAGATTTTCTACATGCATGTCTGGTATTTTATTTGATTTTGTTATGCATGTTTGGAAAGAAATACCTTGGTGCATGTCGTTAATTTCTGATTTTGGTTTTGCTCTGAGTTTAGTTGTTTTAATGGGGGGTTTTAGTGTGAAAATTTATTATTTAAAAGCGTTGATTGTGTCCTTTATCTACTGGTTGTTCACTCTTTTGGAGTTTCTCCATTTTTCTTCTATTTGTATATGGTGTGAGATTTTTTTATTGCAAAGTTATTTGTGCAAGCTGCGTTTTTCTAAATAAAAGCTGCTAATATAAAACTTTATTTAACTGGGTAGTGGCAGTTTTTCACGTTACAGCCAAAGTTACATTCATCGGTGAGTATTTTGATCACTTATGTTTGTTTCGTGATACATTGAGGTGCTTGAATTAACCCTATGCATTTTATATGTAGATGTTCGATTTCCTGCTCCTATTCATTTTTTCATTCTGAAAGAAAACTGTGTTAGAGTTGTTAACCAATTCCTATCGACTTCTGATTTAAAATAGAAACTCCTGACTTTGTAGCTGAATATATTCTGTAGTAGATTTGTTTAACTGGTTTCTATATTCTAAACCATTTACATTATACCTTATATATGTCTTCTCAAGTGCCTATATTTTACTCTCCAGTACCTTTGCATCAGTATTAAAGTAATTAAGTTACTTAATGCGTCTCTAGACACTGACTTAATATACTACTAAGTATAAAAATGACAACAGAAAACTGAAAGGAATAAAAGACTAAGCTACCTGTTAAAAGACTGAAAATTAGCGAAGAAGCAATGTTGGCGAAGTAACATATGCATGTGCTGCATCCTTGAAAGGAGTACACAAAAATACAATCAATTTGTGGCTAAGGTATATAGACATGGTCAAACATGTCTTGGTATGAATTACAATTTGGGAAATACTTTTAATAAAAAGTTCTAAGGACAGAAACATGCGGGGGAGGGGAAAAAAGAGAGCTAATCAATAAAAGAAAGCAATGTTGATCACGTCATGGTAATATTCCTATAACTTTGATCCATCTGTTAACATACAGAATATCAACTGTTAGTGATCTTAGCCTATTCTGTTCTATATTTTCCTGTGTTACTTTCCTCCCATGTGCAACATTAAGCCAATGTATTTATGCAAAAGGGCTGAAAACGACTTAAATAAATCGAGCTATAAAGGCACTTCCTCATTGCAGAAGAACTCTAACTTTGCTGTCACATTCATTTCTTTTTTATCAATTCCTTAAGAGCTACCTAATTTCTTAAAACTTCCCAAATAAATCTCACTTTTTCTGGAATTTTCCCAAGAGGGAAGCATCATTTCTCTAGAAGAATTGCAAACGACAGCCTTACTGGAAAGATCAGTGGGTGGGGAAGCCTCTCAAAGACACATTCATAAAGCCTTATTTGTACTATCAATTATCATTCATTCACTACTTTTTTATAAGCTGCTAGTGCCGGTTCGTAGTTTCACTTATATATTTGTGTATAATTGCTCTTGAATTATCTGTGCTACCAATCATACTTGCCTCCTTTTTTCCAGAATATCGCAAGTGTGGAGAGAAAACTCTTGCTAATACAGTGAAACATGAGATGGAGAAAAAGAGGTAATTCTCTGCTTTAGTAGAAACCTTTATTGTTGAATACAATGTTGCGCGAACTCTCCAAAATGCTGTCGCACCCGTGTCGGATCCTCCAAAAATACACTACTTTTGGAGGACCCGACACGCACCCGACGATATTTTTGGAGATTCCGAGCAACATAGGTTGAATGTACAGTAGGGATTTAAACACAAGGAAAGAAATATCCATGTATTAACCAATAAGAAATGAAACCTTTGATTTGCAAAGAGAAAGCCGTATGCAACAGGTCATAGTATATATTTCCTTGACCCATAAGCCTAGTTTCTATAAGTCAATCAATTTGTAGATAATTGACTTAAATATCTGAGCAGTTGATCTACTGATTTTGTTAAAGATCACTTAGTCATTTGCAATTCTCATTGTATTCATAGGACTTGATTTGAGAAAAAGATTTTAACTTAGCATAAAGAAAAAAATTACTCTTTACAAATTTCATATACAAAGAACTTGGTTCTTTCTGTTGCAACTAGAGTGGATTGTTTCTAATCAAATAGGAATAATAATTAAATATTTCAAATCATGTCCTACCTTTATCCTTCTTTATGTTAGGCAGCCTAGGAGGAAAGTCAAGGAAGAAGGCTATTGTTTCTGTTCTAATACTATCCATTACTAAATGCATCTTTTTTCCCTTGCGATGGTCCAATATTTCTTGCAGCCTATAATTATGATTATGGCATGACTGTTGTACATGTTTCTAGTAAAGTTAGACCTGTTGTGTAATTCCAAATGCACAATCAGTTAAGTTTATTTGAGGATTCTTGATTTTGTCAATGGATTGGAAAAACTATGGAGTAGATTGAAATTGATGGAACTAGTGTCATTTAGTGAATTGTATCTTTTGTTTCCTCTACTCTGTTTTACGGCGTTCACATTCTTGCTACTATATATACTTGTTGATCTTATAGTTCTATATTTTGGAAGAAGAGGATGAGGCAAGTCTACAAGTCATGCTAAGTAACTTTATCTTTCATGAAAAAGTACATATCTTGGCTGTGTGCACAAATGAGTATTTAATTGAATCAATCTTTGTATGTATTTGGTTGACTATAATATTATATCTTTGGGAGTATTTAGTAGGTTCTGGTGCAACAACTTTGTTTGGGGAAGTATTCAACTTTGCTGTGGAATTTTTGAAAGATTTACAACTCAGTTTATTCAATTCTATTTGGAGTAGTTCTCTTGATCTAATAATTTTGCAACTTATATTCAGCTTTCTTTTAGCTGAATGTTTCTATTCAATAATTTTGTAATATGTGACATTTTCAATGATGAAGTAGTTGCAATATTTAGTAAGTGGACAACATGCATATCTTATTCCCTCTTTTTCTTTGTTAATCGAGTTCTGTACTTTATAATTTTCTTTTATCAAAATGTAATTATATTTATCTTCTTTTGTAGGATGAATATGCTTAAATCATCATTGCTGGAGATATGGTCCATGCGGCGCAACAAGTTGTCGGAAGAAGATTAGGGATTAATTAGATTAGAACTTAATGACCTTGGTATATGATGTTTTTGTTCTTTTTGTAAATAAAAGCATACATTTTGGGAGATTTATATTTTGAAAGTGTATCAATTTTATGTATTGGCATTTATATAGATAAAATTTATTATTTTATACATACATTTGTGAAATTATTGTTGACAAAAGGTAATTCATAAACAAAATAGCAATTGTTGCTAAAAGCCTTAATAATAGATCAATAACTAACTTTTCCGCCAATTTTTTTACCACAACAAATAATGTTGGTAAATATGATCACTTTTTGCAACAATAATTTTTGTTGTTAAATGTTCTCATAATCCACATTTGCATGATTTTTTACCAA